TTTTACAATCAATATTGAGATAGTCTCGTAGGGTTTCTGTATCATTTATTTATAAACTCTTTCTAGATTTCTTTTGGTTGACTGAAACTTTTATGATTTGTCCTGACTTGATTCCATTTTGATACTTGTACAAATCTGCCTTGTCGGAAATACGGAGCTGTGCTTAAAATGTGACACGTATTGTTGTTGCAAATTTTTTTATGCAAAGTCGAGTTCACCAAGCAGCAAAATCTCCCAGGACTAGATGGGAAGTTTGATACGCTCCAGTTGTTGTCTGTGGAACAACTCTGTGCAACGAATCCTTGCATCCACACTGAATGACGACAACAAGTAACAACACCAGGTGAAATATACAACGCTATGACAATTGATACATTTGAAAAGAAAAATTACGGCCGCATAGTGCAAATAATGGCGGTTATTTGAAGAAGGACAAGGCGGTCGTAGGCCATAGGAGTTTGAATAAAACACTCACTACAATCCCATCACGATTCTTTCTCACATTTCAGTGCAACTCTTCACATGTACTTAAATGTAATTGGCTGTTTGTTCTTTTTCAGTTTTCGTGTTATTCGCCAATATGTTTGACGAATCATACATTTTAATATTAATAATATAGTTTAGTTTAAACTATATTAACGGTACAGTTTCTGGATGTCAGGGATTTTCTGAAAAGAAGATTATTGGTCTACTCGAATAAAGCGTAAATTGTGTATCGGATTAAATTGTAAAAATCTCTCCAGCGTCTGACCCCCTCTTTAAATTTAAAATTAGAATCGAATAATAATGCTATGTGTACACGAATGTGTGTTCGTTATGCCCTCCCATTTTTGGATTGCATTTTAAAAAAATAAATAGTTTTAGTCATTTAACGTTGTTTCAATTTTGATATATTAATAAGACACGAACAATTTGTTCGTGTCTTATTAATATATTTTAAAGCTTTATTGCAGTCCAACACTTTTCAATTTTGAGGATTGTAAATTTAAAGTTGTTAAATTTAGATATGCAAAGCTTAAAAATGTTAAATTCATATTTCATAATCGCACAAGAAACCTATAAAAGGGCCTAGCTCCACTTCGCTAACACTGACGTATTATTTGCTTAGCTTATCCGTGTGTGAATATAGACTAAAAATACTTCCCCGAAACAGCCAAGTATCCGTCGTAGGATGTGAATGTATATTATGTCAGCAACATAGTTCTGTCACAGCAAAATGTAATGTCACCTTCACAGGCCATTTCATAATTTCTTTATAAATTCAACTAAAGAATTTCTCGGTATTCTAAAATGTAGCGTCACACGTGATAAAGGGACATTCCATATATTACGGAAACCTGAGAGGGTAAGTAAGAGGTCATGTATTTTGGGTATATTGGCATGAGGGGCCGTTTGGGCCTGGTGGGGGTTTATTTCTATGGAATGTAAGTAAATTTAAGCACACATGCTGCAACACTGGGAGGCAAAAATTAGCATATTTATTACCATAATATTTATTATTTCTAATACATTTTGACGGGTATAAAATATCACCGCATGTCTGGTAATTATCTTTGTTGTCACAAATAACTCGTTAGATATACCAAAAATAATACTTAGCTTAGAGAAAACTTTAGTCTATTACACTCCTTTTTATGTTTCAGTGCATGTGACGTAATATGCAACATAGTTACTATATAATTCCTGGCATAGGCCACCCTTGATTATACACGGCACGTTTGCTTACCACGAATACTTGTAATTTTTGTTGGTTTTTTTTGGTGCAACCATCTGATTGTAGGCTAAAAAAAGATTTTTAAAATATGTATGATCAAAATGGTTCAACCACTTGAAGAGCCACTGTGGGGTTTGCCTTTTGGTTGACCTGCGGCGTACGACCGGTTAGGAGTTTGTTTTTTGTCGTGGAGAAAAAACGTGAGTTTTTGGTTCTGTTAGGGGCATTACTCGCTATGTGACCATTGATTAGGATGTAGATACGATGAACGGAAAGAGGTACATGTACTGATTTAGAATGTAAGTAACTTTATCTTCATATTGTATTTTTATTTTAAATTATGTTAATGGTTCTATGTAAATTAGCCTTACTCAGCTTACTATAATTGTAGTGAAATACGTTAAGAGGGTATTCATCTGATTTTATTGCTCGCAGCTGTACATTCAGACCATTCATTTAAAAAAAAAATGTAATTGCGAGTAAAAAAAAAAAAACAATAATCTATTATTTATAAAATGTGTCTACATTTTAGAATAGACAAATACTAATCACTATATTTACATGTCATTGACTTGATCAGATTTTCTGGTATTTATTTTTATTTATTAATTTTTAGCTTTTCTCTATATCCAAGTTTATCACCACGTAATGACTTGACAAATACATATTATGTTTATTACATCATTTTATAATTGGATTTAAGTAGAAAAGTTTAATCTCGTAGGATGAGATTTTATTGGTTACGTTTTTGTGTAATTAGATGTAAGTGGTGTTAAGGATAAGTTCGTTTCTGTGGGTGAGTGTTTGGCACTGAAAGTACTTGTGTAGCTGTTTCTTTGTGGTTGGTATTTTGTTACGTGTTTGTAAGGGAAATAGCATGGTGAGCATGGGCGCCCGGAGGGGGGGGGGGACAAGGGGACAAGGGGGGCACTTGCCCCCCCCCCTGGATTGATTGGATCAAATTTTTTTGAGACAAAAATAGACAAAAAATGTATTACAGTAAAGAGAAAATAAAGAGAAAGGAAATAAGCTGATGTCTTGTCCGTTCGTTCACCAAACAAATACGCTACAGTAAATTAAAACTACATTAAAACATTACTAAAAAATGTTTGTCTCCCCCTTGAAAGTTAATCGAATTCCCCCCCCCCCCC